CATCAGGTTTGGTAATATGGACTGCAGTAGATATATGGGTAGACATATGGGGAACTTCAAACAACAGTAGCCAAAGGAAAAGAAAAGAATTTTTCTATATAATAATTCTGTTTTGGTTATGGACTCTCCTGAACATTCCACACGCTCCCAAATCAGTTGACTCCCTGATCTGTCACTCAGAAGCTGTCCCTATCCACTGGCTGCGTTGCCTGAGTCTCGCCTCCAATATTCTAAACAGTTTGCTGTTCCTCACCCCCCAATAGCCAGTCGGAACACAGAGGTCATTTGCATATGCGGCCTGATTGGCCTTTGCCTCTAACATTCTAAACAGTTTGTTGTTGCTGTTGGGAGTCATTGAATGTGTCCTGAGGTAAAATACACATCCTAATTTTCCCTTAAACGGTCACTGAAGTTGCCAAAATACAGATCCCAATCTTCCCTTAAATGGTCACTGGAGTTGCCAATCTCCCTGTGGGGCCTGGATATCTCCCACAAATCACTGTGTTCCCCAGCCACAGCACATCATTTCCCCTACAGAAAATTTCCCAGCTATTACAATGGCTGCATTGGGCAGTGGACTCTATGGGATTATACCCTGCTGAAGTCCCTCTGCACAACAAACCCTGCCCTCCCCAGGCTCTACCCCTCAAATCTACAGGTATTTCCCAACCCAAAGTTGGCAACTCTGTAACTGGCTATGGAACCGCTTTCCAGAACCTTGGAACCCAGAAGACATGGCATAGGAGGACGTGCTTTTCTACCTTCGCTGCCACTGCATAACCTCAAATCAACATAAGTTAGGTGTGGAGGAAACCATACCTGTTACCATGAGGCTGTCCTCCCATACTACCCACTTGGGACAACAAAATGACTTGAGACAGCCCTGCCTTATAGCTAAGCAGAAGGAAATAAACATGGCTTGCCTCCCTCTATTTTCCCCTTCCCTCTGCTGCCCCACCAGCCACAGCTGGGACACTCAGCTGGAGCTTCCTTCTAGAGCTCATTGTATTTCTTCCCACAATGGGCCTTACTCCTAGTTTATTATAAAAAGGAGTGATGTCACCCCCTTGTCCTTCCACACTCACCCCCCCCCCAACCTGTGTGGCTATTCCTCCATATGGCTTATATAGGGTTGCCAACTTGCAGGTTAGGCCTGGGGACTTCCCAGAATTACAACTGATCTCTAGGCTACAAAGAACAGTTCCTGTGAAGAAAATAGCTGCTTTGGAGGGTGGACTGTATGGCATTATACCCCCTTGAGGCTCCTCCCCTCACCAAACCTCACCCTCCATACAGGTTCCACACCCAAATGTGCAGGCATTTCCCAACCTAGAGCTGTCAAACCTAGAGGTCATGCAACCCTGGGAACGATCATTCTGAAGGTCAGAAGGGCTGTGGGAATGGAGAGGATTTCTAGAAAATTCTGTGTTCTATGTATGGACTGAGTAGGATACCGCCCATTGTTTTGCTTTGTGCTGCATTATACTCTGTGTTTTTCCTCTGCTGGGAGATCTCTTGGTTCTCTCATGACTGCTAATCATCATGGTTTGTTTAGAAAAGCTGGTTGATCCCTACGTCCTGTGCCACATGGTATCGTTCCCACCATGCCACAGAACAAGTACAAGATGAAAAGCTGTAACTCTATATTAATGTTTAGAAAGACAGGGCAGCTGAATTATCACAGAGACAGCACAGTGAACATGATTTGTTTACAAGTGAGCTTTGTTCTCATGTGCTGCCTTTCATCTGGTGATCTCAAAGCATGTTTCAAAAATAGAGAAGTCTTATTAACCTTATTTTTTATATATATCAGAAAAGCACAGAGGGAATACAGGTCATACTTTCAAACACAAATACATGAATAGAATCATTACCAAGTGCCCATGATCTGTCACACAGTGGCAGGACTGATGCTTCAGGCAGTTTGAACCCATTATCAGTTTGAGAGAATTTAGAAAGGCCGAAAAGAGGCTTTCACTTCAAAGATTGCTTTGGTAAATGCTACTTACTGTAGAAATCATGATGGGAAATGCAGCAGAGAAGGCCTACACTCCATCTTGACAGTCCTCCACATGGTGTATACCATTGGCTGGAACAGGCATAGATTTTGGACATATTTAATTCCACTACAGAATTGTGTCTCTTATGATTTTAAGAACTGCATGACAAAGCAGAAATTAAAACAAATTAAGCTTTTTACATCCCAGCAGCTACACAGAAAGAGAGCCTGTACTGTTTTTTCCAAATGACGGGTACTCCTAGTGACAGATAATGGCAAAGGGAAGAAAAATATAGAAGAAGACAGTGCCTCAGGGGAAGGCAGAATGACCTTTCTTGCCACTAACCCCTGCTGGAATAACATTTACTATAGTTGTTCAAGAAACAAAGGCAAAAAAGGCTGCATTTATGGCCCATTACACATGCACATCTTACTGCAGATTTTCAGAGCAGTGAGCCTTTAATCTTGACTTCAAATTCTGTGCCTGCTTTATGCACCATTCTTTTTCCTTTGGTGTGTTTATTCTGCAGCTACAATGTTTAAAAACCCACACTTTTCTAAATCAGGGTGGAACATCACTTATGACATGTGGGGGGTGGTGTACAAAGGTTTTTTAAAAGAAATTATACAATTGCTCTATCGCAGCTGTGCGGTAGTTTGCAAAACGTGCCTTCCATTTAAATCCTTGTGGTTCAGATTTTGCACATGCATTTTTAGTGTTAGTTCATTGAATGAAACAGAACAGAAAGGAACACAGGCAAAGGCGGAAAACCAATTTGAAATTGACAAGACTTTTTTTGAAACTGACAAGCAGCTGCAAAGCCCTGTTTTCCATATTGTGAAGCACTAGAGGATTTTCTGCTGTGTTATCAGCCACTGGGAAAAATGGGAAAGAATCACACAATCTCATAATATGGGGGAACATGTTGAGTGTACAGAATGCATGGTATAACCCAATGACACTGGTGTAGCAAGCTGTTATCATTAGCTACATGTGTGTGCATGTTTGTGCACCTGTGCAAAATTGGCTGCAATTCCACCACACTTTGCACAGGGCTGCAATTTGTATGGGGGAGGAGTCCTCTGGCAGAAGCTTTGGAAAGCTTTTTAGTCTTGTGCCACTAAATTGGAAAAAAACCAACCCACATTTTGGGGGTATCTTCACTGATGCCCTAGCACAGCTGCATAGTAATGCTAATTTCCTGCCCGTCCTTGCAAATTTGAATGGTTTTCTCTTTGTGATTCTCTAATTTGATCCTACACACTAGTCGTGATCTTGGTAGTTTTTAAACACCTGTCCTGTACAGATTGCACTCTGTTCTCCAAATGGGTTGATCTCAAGTGATTCTTAAGTTCAGCATTATGCAGGTGTAGCTTCGAGCATGGAGTTGGAGAAAGGGCCACGGCCTACCTTGTTGGCCTGGGCCCAGTCAGTGGAGGCATCCGGCACAGCAAGCCTTGAGGGCTGTCGTGCTGATCCTGGGTGGCTCTGGGCTGTGACGGCAGAGGAGAATCATCTGGTGGTCTTCCGGGGCGGCAGCAAGTGGTGGTTCTTTTAGGCAGCCACAGTGGCATTTCCTTCGCCCCCGGGGCCGGTGGCAGTAGTGGTTTGCAGCACAGTTCTTTTGGGAGCTTGGCGATAGAGAGGGCCAGTAGAAGCCCATAAGGGTGGCTCTGGGGAGGGTCTCAACCCAGTGGTCAGGACCGCTGTGGCGGTCCGCAGCATAGGGAGGCAATCTCCAGAGGCCCACTCCTTGGGTTTCCTCCCCCCACCCCCGGATGGCTCGGTGACAGCACAGGCTCTGGGGATTCTGGTTCTGGGAGGGCACAAGGGGTCGGTTGCCACAGCAGTTTCCATTCTCTGGGGGCGATTCAAAAAGTAGCCGTCAGTGGCAAGCCCACTTGGCGAAGCCGGCTTAGAAGCTCGGTTGGGTCATCAGGGAGTTTGAATAAATGGCCAAGGTGGTTTGGTGTAGTGGTTAAGTGTGCAGACTCTAATCTGGGAGAACCGGGTTTGATTCCCCACTCCTCCACTTGCACCTGCTGATGTGACCTTGGGTCAGTCACAAGCTCTGGCACAGCTGTCCTTGAAAAAGAGCAGTTTGTGTCAGAGTTCTCTCAGCCCCACCCACCTCACAGGGTGTCTGTTGTGGGGTGGGGAGGGGAAAAGAGTTTGTAAGCCGCGCTGAGACTCCAAGTGAAGGGCGGGGTATAAATCCAATCCCTCTTCTTCTATGGTGGGTGTTGCCCCCTGGTGGCCATTTTGCATAAACGGTCCCTCTAGGCTCTTAAGGAGTGGCAGTTAGGTGGAAATTTTGGTGAAGTCAGATAGAGGTGGCCACTTTGGGTGGTGCTATCTAGAGGCGGCCATTTTGTGGTGTTAATTCCGAGGGCAGTTATGTGCAGCCATCTTAGGTCAGGCATTTTGAGTGGGTCCTTTGGTTTGCTGTTTTGAGTAGTTTATTTTAGGAGCAACCATATTGAGTGGGTCCTTTTGAGTCAGCCACATTGGGAGTGTCCTGGCAGGATAGCCATTTTGAATAGGGCGTGGAGAGGTGGCCATTTCGTTACCCTCCAAAGCTGGCCATTTTGAGGGGGACATTATAGGGCAGCCATTTTAAAACACTTTACAGAGTGTCTATTTTGATTGACTCCAAAAGCGCTGGCCACTGGGGCCTAGGTGTAACCACACCTCAACTCCTTACCTTTTTAGGTCACTTTTCAGTGAGGAGCACTTCAGGGCAATAAGCGCTGGTTTAAGGGCAATTTTTTTGCCAATGGCTCCTAAGAAAGGCCAGGGGACATCCAAGCGCAAGCAGCCGGCCCCTAAGAAGCAGTCTTCCCAGAAGCCCCCATTTTAGACTCCTCTGATGAGGATGATCAGGACCCTGTCAACGCTGCCATACTAGAGAAGCTAGCGGCACTGGGGAACTGATGGGGTGAACTTCCTCCTTTGCATGTGGTGTCTAAAGCTTCTTCCAAACAATCTTTTTGGGCACAGGTGTTGGCATGTTTAGCTCTTATTGAGGACAGACAGGGCAAAGTGGCATCAACTTCAGGTCAGCTGGTCCAGAGGGAACGCTCAGATGGCAAGCCTGAGAGCAAGGTCATGGAGGCGTTCCAGGTGGAGTGTTATAAAGGGCCTTCTAGAAATGAAGGTAAGGCAGAGAGCATTGGCCAGGGGGGGACATATTGGCCATGGGGCCCCAGCACTTCAGGAGACACTGGGTATACTATGCACACCGCACGGGGTAGCGCCATGCACACAATGCCAGGTGGATGGTCACCTTGGGCAGGCTGGGGAGGCATGGCTCAGCCAACCCCTCAAGGTTTCTGGCCCGGATGGGGCCCCACAAGTTTAGGTGTAGGTTTTGCTAATCGGGGGGGGGGGCTCACATATGACATGGTGTCAGCTGGCACCATTCCATTTGGGGATTTGGCTTTGCCTCTAGGAGACCACCTCTCCACTGCCACCAGGGAAGAAATCCTAAAGGGAGAGTTTGTAGATGTATATAGGAAATTGGAGAGTTTGTAGGTGAGGAAAGGGAGAGTTTGTAGATGTATATAGGAAATTGGAGAAGAAGGATAAAGAGCACCTGGACGAGAGGGAGAAAGAACATCTGAAGTGGCGCAGGGTGGATAGAACCTGGGCAAATTGGTTCCCTGGGTTCTTAATCTATGTGGCAATAATAGTGAGGCACCAACCATGGAGGGCTTCTGTGATTCTCCAGTACATGGACATCATTTACAACGGATTTACTGATTTTCTGAGCCCTGCATGGCTGCAGTATGACAAGGAGTTCAGAATGAGGACAGCCATGAATTCAGCCTTGAGATGGGACCAGATTCACCCACAAATCATGTCTCCCGATCAGCGATTAGGCAGTGAGAGGTCAGATAGTGGCCACTCTGTTTGCAGAGCACAAGGTCAGGCAGGTACCCGTGCCCAGACGGGGCAGGCGGTTAATCGATGCCCGCTTTGCTGGGAGTTCACCTCCCATGGGACATGCAGCCACAAGTCATGCTCCTTCAGGCATGAATGCCCTTTGTGCACGGCGGCCCACACACTATCAGGTTGCCCCAAGATGAAGGGCAAGTCATGTGGCAAGGGAGGTAAGCATCCAGGAGAAGGTGGTGGTTATAACCCCCCTCCTGACAAAGGGTCCCAGCCCAATTAAGATTGCAGTGCTTAGGCATTGGTTGTGGGTTTACCCCAACCGTCAGGATTGTGTTTACCTCTTGGAAGGTTTCACTCTAGGGTTTAGGATTCCTTACCAAGGGAAGAGAAGATCATATAGTGCTCCTAACCTGAAATCAGTTAAGGGAATGGAGCACATAGCTAGCGGAAAAAATTGAAAGGAATGTAGGGAAGGTAGGGTATGGGTACCTTTCCCTTCCCCACCAGTTAACAATTTGAGGGTTGCCCCATTGGGAGTTGTGCCAAAAAAGGCACCTGGAGAGTATTGCCTCATTCACCATCTGTCATACCCACGTGGGGAGTTGGTGAATGATGCTATACTGGAGGAGTTATGCTCTGTTAGATACACCTCATTTGATCAGGCTATGCAGGTAGTGGGCCATTGTGGGCAGGGGGCGGAATTGGCAAAGTGTGACATTGTCAGCCTTCCGTCTCCTCCCTGTCCACCCAGCCGATTTTGAGTTGTTGGGTTTTGCTTTTGAGGGCAAATTCTATATGGACAGGGCCCTTCCCATGGGGTGCACAGTTTCCTGTGCTGCTTTCGAGAGGTTCAGTTCCTTTTTAGAATGGGGCTTGCGTTACAGGACATGATTATGCAGCACTGCCCACTATCTTGATGACTTCCTGTTGGCAGCAAGGAAAGATACAGGGCAGTGTGAATTTTTACTGAAAAGCTTCATGGGTCTGGCGGAGGAGTTGGGAGTTCCTCTTGCCCAGGAAAAAAACAGAGTGTTCTACCACAATTTTGATGTTCCTAGGCATAGAAATCAACACAGTAGGGCAGCTGTGTAAATTACCTGCTGACAAATTGAATGGACTGCAGGTGCTGATTGACAAGGTCAGGGCAAAGAAAAAGATCGCCTTGCTGGAGTTGCAGCAGCTGGTTGGCCACCTCAACTTTGCATGCAAAGTTGTGGCACCCAGCTGGGAATTTGTTAGGAGATTATGTGAGTCCATGAGGGGTCTCTATCTCCTGCATCATAGGACCAGGGTCACCAAGAGGATAAGGGACGACCTCATTGTATGGAAGGAATTTTTGGATTCATACAATGGGGTGTCTTTTTGGCAGGAAGACCTTCTAGTCGAAACTGAGCTGCAGGTCACATCTGATGCTGCAGGCTCCTCTGGCTTTGGAGTCTATTTTCGGGGACATTGGTGTGCTGAGGACCGGCCTGAGGAATGGTTTCAGGCAGGGTGGGTCAAGGACCTCACCTTCTTGGAATTTTTCCCGATTGTCGTAGCAGTGTGGATTTGGACAGCAGAGCTTGCCAACCATACTGTCCACTTCTGGTGTGACAATCTGTCCACAGTGCACATGATTAACTCACTGACGTCCAAGTCTCCTAGAGTCATGGCCCTGGTCAGAGCCTTCACACTCCGTTGTTTGCTGAACAAAATATTGTTCAAAGCCAGGCACGTCAGTAATGGGGTCGCTGATGCTCTCTCTTGAAAACAGATGGAGAGATTCCATCAGCTTGCTCGGGAAGCCAACCAGTTCCTGATTCGTATGCCTGCGGAGGTGTGGCAGATTGGTGGGCTGAGGCCGACAGGGCAATACGTTTAGCTCTCACCCCTTCTACCCGGAGAGCTTATAAGAGGGCAGGTAAGCAGTTTCTGTCCTTTAGGGAGGAAGCTGGTCTGAGACAGGTTTGGCTCATTCTGGTGTCCCATTTGATGCAGCTTTGTGTGTCACTGAGGAGTAAGGGACTGTCAGCGTGTTCCATTAGGGGCAAGCTGTCATCTCTCACCTATGCCAGCAAGGCATCTGGGTTTGAGGAGAAGACGGGTGACTTCCGTATCAGGAAGATGCTTGAAGGCTGGTCAAGAGAGGGTGATAAGGTTATAGACACCAGAGAACCTTTGACCTCAACAGTGCTGATGGGGCTTAAGGCACAGTGGCACACACTTTGCAATAATGGGCATGAGGCTGCACTGTTCCATGCAGCATAACTGGTTACCTTTTTTGGGGGGGGGGCACTATGGATTAGTGAGTTAATGGCTGGCTCTCACTGGGATACATCTGGCCTAGCGCTCGACCAGCATGATATTCACATGCTGGACTCAAAAGTTAGGATCACACTTCGGTGGTCAAAGATCGACCAACTTGGCAAGGGTTCTGATATTGAGCTGGGCAGGTGTTCCGAGGCTGAGTTATGCCCGGTGCTGGCTTTACGCCAATATTTGGCCATGCGGGGCAAGGGTGTAGGCTATTTATTTCGACATAGGGATGGCACCCCCCTCACCAAATTTCAATTTTGGGCCCTGACATAGAAAGCGCTGGTCCGTTGGGATTAGGCGGGTTCCGCTTCGGAAAACACTCCTTCTGGATTGGGACAGCTTCAAAAGCAGCAGCCATGGGGTATTCCAATAGCGAGATTCAGCAGATAGGTCACCGGAAATCACATTGTTACTGGGGATATGTGCAGGATTGCAAAGTTTAAGGTTATGTTTAGGTTATTAATAGGGTTCCTCTTACAGATGCTGCAGGCCATGGGGCGAGATGAAGGGTCACCATCTGCAGCCACAGCATGGTCTTTTGGGCTGCTCACCAGGCCAGGAGGACACCCATCAGTTCTCAACTGGGCCTTAGTGAGTGGGCTGTTGTCGAATGGTTGGGAAGGAGGGGCATGAGATGGCCGGCGCTCCTTCCCCTGTTATTTGAAGAGAGGCGGGGGCCTCCTCCACACATTTTGGTAGTACACCTAGGGGGTAAAGATCTAGGTCTGATAAAGGGCAAGGCCCTTGTGTTATGAGCTGAAGCTGACCTTGCGATGATAAGAGCAAGGTGGCCTGGTGTGCAGATAGGCTGGTTGGCTATTCTGCCCTGCCAGGTGTGGTGTAACTTGGGAGACCCCTGCTGCATTGACCGTGCCAGGTGTAAAGTCAACTGCTAGATGAGAAAGGCCTTGGAGGGTGGTTTAGGGTAATTTTTGCCGCACCCCGACATACGGGTCGAGTTCCAGGATCTGTATAGGGCTGATGGGGTGTACCTATCTGACAAGGGCAATGGGTTATTTTTGCAGGACTTGCGGCAAGGGATTAGGTCAGCCTTGGGCTGTTAGTGGGAGCAAAGGCCAAAGCAGAGGCTTGACCTTGGATGTGGCAGGTTTGCGCGGGCAAGAAACCAGAACCGGTGAGCACCTTATGGCATTTTCCCAATTATGGAACAGGGGGTCATCAGGAACTGCCTTCAGATTTTAAGGTCCAGGGTAGGGAATGGGGATCACCTCTGGGCAGGGGTCAGAAAATGACCCCTGCCTCTGGGAACCTCTTAGGGTAAGGCTCCTCTCTGCAAGTTGTAAGGCTTCAGGGGTAGGCGCTCCTAGGTGGCAACCAGTTTTGCTGGGCTGCCAGTTGTGAGCCAGAGTGCTGGCTCAAGATCGGAGCTGGGCGACCCGCCCGAGAAAAGAGCAAGGAGGTTGGTCAAGGGAGTGACACCTGCCTTGCCTGTTCCGTGCTCACTTAGTTGGTCCCTTGTCGCAATGTTATGTTAAATAGCTAATAAAGTGGCCCTTGTTAACTTCCAAAACTGTTGTCTGCCTCGTTATTCTGACGGGGGGGGGGCAAAGCAAACTGAGCACTGAAAGGAGGAAAATCAGTGCAGAACAACAAAGACCTGAAGGACGTGCATGGTGAAAGGGAGGGAAAACAGCCGTGCATAACAGGCCTATGTTCCGTTCACCAAGAGCTCTTTTCAATTACCTTGCAAGTTCCTTGAGGCCTCCTGAAGCAGCAGACAGTCTTGTTGCTGCCGCCAATCACATATCATTTTTTCAGAGGTCATGCCAAGGCCCATTCCTTTGAGTTTCAATTACCTGTTCCTGGGCAGTCTTCTTCACCAGGAGACATGTATATGAGCGAGGGTTGCCAGCCATGCGGTTAGCAACCCCCAGGAGCTTCTGGAGGGTGGAGCATGGGGAGGGGGAGCATCCCTTAGGAGGCAATGTCCCTTCTAGGGGATGACCTGGAAGTGATGACACTGCCCCCCATGCTTTAGAACTTCCTAAAGTGTTGCAGACACAGCAAATGAAAGTGATGTCACAATCGAAAGAGAGAGCTGGCAGGAATGGAAGGTAAACCTAACAAGAGCTCAGGCTTTTTTTTTCCTGTGGAGAAAGAGATCAAAAGTTACATCACTTCTGTCCTGCGTCAGATGCTGTCCCCTTGCAACACTGATTTACACTGATTAGAATCGGAAGGCATACTCTCAGTGAGAGTCCCAGTTGGATCCAGTGCGTATAGACAGACCTTCCTCTTAGGTCCTCCCTTCCACATTCTTCAGCACTGTAATGATCTGGGAAGGTTCTGAAAACACTGTGTTTGGGATGAAGCTCCTGCTACAATTCAGTGAGGTCCAAAATACTTACATTACTCTTTTGTTCTACACAAGGGTTGTTTCGTAGAAAAAGAGCAAAGGGAACTCATTAGCATAACTCATTAGCATATGCCACACCCCCTGACATCACCGGAAGTGTGTCATAAGGCCACACCCCCTGACATCACCGGAAGTGTGTCATAAGGCCACACCCCCTGACATCACCGGAAGTATGTCATAAGGTCACACACCCCGCCCCCAACGGTCCCAGCCGCCGCCAGCCTTGCAGCTCCACTGCAAGGACCTGCAAGGCCAGCAGGAGTGTGAGGAAGCCCCGCGAAGGCCCTCCCTGGCCCCAGGCAGGCAGGGGTGGGGAGAGGCAGGGAGGAAGCAACTTACCCTCCCTCTTCTCCTGCCTCCTCCTGGCTGAATGAGGGCCGGAAGCAGGGGGCGGGGCTTCGTCATGTGCCCCGCCCCCGTACCTCACCCGGGGGAACTGCGATCCCCCGCGTTCCCCCCCGAAATGACCTCTGGTTCTACAGAGCTTACACACTTTCTGTTGAGTCTGCTATGAGAACAATATCACACTTAATATCAACTTCACCTCCTTCTGCCTCTTTTCATCTTCATTTTCTTCTTCCCGTCTCTTTCTTTTTGGTCCATTGTTCCCAGTATCCTTACTCTTCTCCACTGGGTACAAATCCATGAATAACGGCAACCCAAGAGTGACATGGGTGATGATGGATCAGCGGAAAATCCCTTACCAGTATGGAGTGTGCAGGATCTTATTTACCTCCTCTCCAGACAAAATGACCTAGGCAGTTTATGACATAAAAACAGGCACAACTATTAATGATTCTTCACTTCTCAGGTGATTCTGGATTGGACACAGTTCCAAAATTTAGTATGCTTCAACTTGTCCCGCCCTTGCATGACCAGTTCAGGAGCAGAGTAGAGCCAGCTCCAGGTTTTTGTCACTACTATCCTAACAACACTTTCCTCAAAGTAAGACCCATTGAATAGATCTTAATATGATTCTAAGAAAACCTGTTTAAGATTGCTGTTTGTGAGCCCTAGACAAGTCATGCACTTTCCTCCTGTATATCTTCTCTTAAATGGGAATCTTTCCTTTCCTGAATAGTCTTGCTCTGATAATGCAATATACTGGAGCACTTACTGTCCTCACCCCAAAGGAAATCCATTTCCAAATTTGTCCCTCATGTTATTTTCCATTTCCACAGCTTTTCTTTATTCTTAATGTAAAAAGAGACTAAGTCAGATTAACAGCCCATTTAGTAACCTCTCTCTGACAGTCTGGGGGGGGGGATTAGAACAGTGAATCCTATGGCAAAATGGAGATTAAGATAAATGTAAACTGAATGTTCATTTTCTACCACAACATATGAAAACCTTTTACCAAAGCAGACTAATATTAGCAATCAGTCCAGAGTTTTGGTTTGTTGGTGCTCTGTCATGGCCAAAGCCTCTCTTAGGGAGACTGCTGTTTTGGAGAATGATATCAACTGCACAATGATAGAACACATATGGACGCTGGAAAACACACACTCATTATACAACCCAACTGATTCACTTTGAAGCTCCATCTATTTTTTTCCCCAGCCTTTTCTTCCTTCCTCCGACTTCTCTGGGAAGCCTTGCCCCCCCAGTTTACGATAAAGAAACAGGCTGTTGGGCAATGTACTCTGTAAGATCAGCAGAGCCATTACACTACCTTTATGTTTGTTTATTCATCTCATCTATATCCTGCTGTTCCCCCAAGAGGTTCAAAGTGGCATATATGAAGCTGAACTTGTCTCTTAACACAATCCTTTTCTTACTAAGGATTGTAACACATTGAATACAGTTACAGTGCTTTGCATTTCTGCAGTATGTTATGCAAATACCTTTTCCATCATGTTTGGGGACTGTTTATTGGTTTCTGCTAGACCAGAAACAAGGCAACTGGGATGACTAGAATGATGGAATAACAGAATGGGTAACTGGAAGACTTGTGCAATTCTTTTTTTTATTAATTACAATAATTATGGAAATTGTGTGTTTCATAATAATTGTAAATATGAAAAGGAAACAAATTCCCCATCTAAACAGCCTATAATAACAAAACCATGGTTTTCTTTTGTTTTGCTCTGGTTTCTTTCCTTATTCCAGTTTCTGCCACTGCTCGACTGCCCAGATCCTTACCCTCCTTCTGCTACCAAATTTCCTTGCTATGTCTCTGTCTCATACAACTGTTCTTCACACTAAGTGGCTGCAGTGCTTTCTGTGTTACTGTTTGGAATATTTCCTTTCAATTCTCCCATAGGTGGTAGAAAGCACCATCAAGTGGCAGCTGGTTTGTGGCTACCTTGTAGGATTTTCAAGGCAAGAGACAAACAGAGGTGGCTTGCCATTGCCTGCCTCTGTGCAGCAACTCTGTACTTCCTTGGTGGTCTCCCATCCAAGTACTGACTGGGGCTGAGCCTGCTTAGCTTCTGAGATTTGATAAGATCCAGCTAGCCTGGGCCATTCAGGTCACAGGATGGGTGCCTTTCATTGCCACAAAAGGGGAGGGGGGCTTTATTATATCTGTCTAAAATCTGGCCGCATGGGTGTTCTAGAGGAGTACTACAGTCTCTGCGGATTTTATCCGTTTGGGAAGGAAAGCCACAAAGGCCCAGACCCAAGAAAAGCTGTGTGTGTGTGTTCTATAGAAACTGAATGGAAATGGCAACAAAATAGAATTACAAAAATTGAACAATAAGGAACAAAACAAAACCACACAAAGCAACTCATTAGCAAAACAGTACATTTTGGAATCTCTCCTTATACATAACTGAATTTTTGTCCGGCAACATTCTATGTACTCCAAAATCAGTTGGCTCTGTGATGTGTCAATCAGAAGGTGTCTCTATCCACTGGCTGTGTTGCCTGAGTACTCTCCCACCCACTGCAGCCTAGGCCACTCTTCTCTGATTGGGCCAGTGTTTCAAGGTCATTTGCATATGGAAGCTGAGTGGACTTCATTCTGCACCTCAAACTCCCCCCCCCCCCGTGAGACAGTTGGAACTCTCAGTTGAATATGCACACTGGTGTATTCTGAGGTAAAATATGTCCTCACTCACAACACATCACTTCCCCTTCAAAAGAAACAAACCCAATAACACAATCATGCCACACCACAAAAAAGACAGATCACACCACAAGCAGAATACCACAATGCAAAAAATGATAGGAAAAGGTGCCAGCAGTCACCCCATTACTGCCACAGATATGTGCTTTGGTTCCCACTGCAGGGAAAGACTGCCCTTTCCCTAGGCAGGGGCTGCGGTGGGAAGGGGGGGATGTAAACCTGAAGACAGACAGGCAGATAAAGGTAGGCTGATGGTTGCCTGGAAAGGACATAGGGTTGCCAACTCCAGGTTGGAAACTTCCAGGATATTTTAGGGATAAAGCCTGCTGAGGTTGGGGTCTCAGAAGGAAGAATACCACTGTTGCCAATCTCCAGGTGACAGCTGGAGAGCTCTTAAAGCTCTGGTGCTAATTCAAAGTGCTGGGGATGTGTTGCATTTTGGCAAAGGACGCTGTGAGTGTAGAAAATGAATTACCAACAGAGCAGTGTTTTGAAAAATCTTTAGCAACTGTTTGGTCCGTTTACCATGAGGCACCTATCCAGAGTCTGTGGCATTTTCTCACTCTGCTGGCATCAAAACCAATTTAAGGCCAAATAGAGATATGGAGACTTTTCCATCCTCCTTTGCATCAATCTGTCTTTGTTGGCAACCCTAGACCTGCCAGCACTCTTAGGGTGACTTCATGCCTCCTGACTGGCATTACTTCATTAGCCCTGGCTGCTTGCTCCTGTTCAGCCAGAAACCCCCTAAGGAAGCTGCCTGGGTGATTTTGGACCAGCCCCAGACTTTCTGCCTAACCTACCTTGCAGGGTTGCTGTACAGATCACAAAGCGGAAGAGTAGAATAAAGTAAGATGCTTTGCTCCCCACTAATGAGAAAGACAGAACTTTGCCCAGGAAGAGGCTGCTGAGAGGGGAGGAGATAAAGTTGCCAACTTTAGGTATGGAAATTCCTGGAGATTTGAGGGGTGGAGCCTGGAAATGGTGGAGTTTGAGGAGGGGGTGGGACCTCAGACAGGTACAGTGCCATAGACTCCACCCTTCAAAACCAGCCCTTTCCTCCTGGGGAACCACTGTTGCCAATCTCCAAGGGAGGGCTGGAGATCACTCAGAATTGCAACTGCTCTTCAGATGGTAGAGATCAGTTCCCCTGGAGAAAACAGTAAGCTCTGTGTCATTATACCCTGCTGAGGTCACCACAGCAAATTGACGCTGAGTGCCCAAGGCCAGGGCACCCACCCAGAGCCTCTTTCTAGAGCTAATTTTATTTATTTCCACAACAGGCCTTATTCCTAGTTAATAATAAAAATGAAAGAAATGATACAAACTCCTATGTACAACTGGGATTTAGTTGTTCTTTCACTCTGTGATATACCTTCTGTATTACTGAGAAATATATTCTGTAGCTTCCAACTAACTTGACATTGTTCTTGATTATGAAGCATATCATTGCCTTAAATTAGAGGGTAATAATTATACCTGATTAATGTAAATAATTCAAGTAATAAGCAACTCACAGTGTTTGATTAATGGGCTTTGCTCTGTTGCACTCTTTATCTGTTGCCATATGCCTTTCTTGTAACATAGCCAAACAGGATACAAGCAGAACTATTAGTGTGGCTTTTTCATTCTTGAAGTGCTAAGCATGTAGGACAGTCATGCCAGTCAAATATTGCCCTATGCACTCTAACAGAACACAGACAATGCACGAGCAGCTTACAGTAGTTATATGGACAGGCTAAGAAGCATGGCAAACTAGCAAAGGAAATGTTGTTTTCTAGGACTTTCCTCCATCATGATGCAAAAGCTATGATCACAGGCAGACCATCTGGAGATGGTTTAAACTTGACAACTTTGCCAGGGATTTCTCCCCCTGTCCTGTTGACTGAATAATTTTTGCTATGTACTATAAGTAGCTATGTCTTCTGACACTCATTCATTTCTTAGGAACAAAATAAGAGCCATCAAGCCTGCATAGCTGTGGTGTTCCTACTGTTTTTTGGGGGGAGGGGGTTTGGCCAAAAAGTCACAGCTGACTTATGGTGATCCCATTGGGTTTTCAAGGCAAGAGATGTTCAGAAGTGCCATTGCCTGTCTCTGAGTAGCAACCCTAGATTTCCTTGGTGGTCTCCTGTCCAAGTAATAAACAGAGCTGACCTCAGCTAGCTCCTAAGATCGGATGAGACTGGGCTAGCCTGGGCTAACCATGTCAGGGTGTTCATACATAACAGCAGTGGCACAAAACAGTTGAAAGCACTGCTTGCTGGAGGATATAGAGCACAATCCTAAACAGGTCTACTTAGAATCCCAATGGGACTTAGTACCAAGAGAGTGTTTTTAGGATTGCAGTGGTGGTCTGGTGGAGCAAGAAACAGAAAGCAGAAGGGGATAGGTTTAGACTGGGGCTAGGGTTGCCAGCCCATCGCTGGCAACCAATAGGAGACTTACATGGGGGAGGGGCTCACTGCTGACTTCACTGCCCCTGCAGTGACATCACTTCCAATGCTCCATCTAAGCTGTGGAGTCTTGTGTGCAAAAATTCTGCTTTGTGAGCTACTGGCCTTACACTTGTGAGCAAGCAATTTGGCTATCGCATAAATTAGATTGCCCTGAGCTAAGACAAAAATGTGTGAGCCAGAGGCTAAAAAACTGTGAGCGAGCTCCCACTAACTCACCTTAGAGGGAACA